TGGGGGCAGGAAGGGGGGGGAGGGGCGGCCCCAACCCCCTCCCCCCCGGGGGGGGGCAGCCTCCTACAGTCCCTTGCTTCCCCCAGCCCTCTCCCTTCTTGGTCCTGTCCGCCCCACGCCCAGGTCAGGGCGAACGCGAAGCTGCTGGGAAGCCTCCCCCCCACGGGGTGCCCCGCCACCCGCTCAACGCAGCCCGGAGGGTCCCAGGGCCTCCAAAGACACCCCGCGCCCCCAAATGCCCCGGAAACACCCCCAAAGCCCCCTTCCGCGCGCTGCCGCGGCCATATGCAAATGAGCGCCCCCAATGTTCCGAGCCCCCCCCCCCCCACAAAGGAGCCCCGCGCACCCGGGACTCCGCGCTCAGCCTGCACTTCCGGGTCGCCCAGCCCCTGACCCCGGAAGTGACCTCAAGCCTCGTCGTCGGACCAGCCCCCTGCTTTTTTTTTGTTTTCATTTCTCACCATTGAATTTACTGTTTTAGGGATTTAAACAGATTTACTGTTCGAAAACACTAAAAAAAGCCCACAACTTATTTATGGGCGACTTCCGGGTGTGAATTCCCGGATGTGACGTCACGCGCTCAGGCCGGCCTCTTTTTATTGGTTTCGTCACCCGCGTTAATTATCTTTACTTGCTGGGATTTAAACCCGGTTTTGGAGGGGTTCCTCCTCCCGGCCAAGTATATATTAAAGGGGGAATACGACTTTCGGGTGCGGGCCGGAACTGACGTCAAGCTAAATTCGCCCTGCCCCTTTTCTTTAATTCCGCCCCCCATTTCTTTTTTTTAACTTATTATTATTTCGAAATTTAATTTTTTGATTTTTAGGAAGAGACTTGGAAAAAGTATCGGGGGGAAGCAGCTTCCGGGTGCGGCCCCTCCCCCTTTTTCTACCCCGTTTTTTATTTCTTCAGTAGACGATTTATTAATTCGTATTTATTCAGTATTGAGGGGCAAGGAGTGCGGCCGGTGCCAGGACAGGAAGTGACGTCGCTGCGCGTTTGCTTCTCTGGATTCAAAAGGAGGGGGAAGCGTGAGCAGGATTTAAAGGGGCCGCGGGCCTTTTCTTTGGAGGGCAACAAATGGGGGAAGTGACATCAGGGCCTGGCAGTGTGCCCGGTGGAACGAAGGAGGGCGGCAGCGCGGGTAGCTCTTAAAGGGCCAGTGCAACCATTTCTCCATTCTCCCAGACCCCCCATTCCACACATACTGCCCTGCGACCCACCAATTACCCCAAAGTATCCACTCAAGACCTGCCCCTTGAGGGGGGAGGGGGGCCTGCGGACAGCACCACTGGCACGTGCTGAGGGCGCCACCCCCCACCGCACAGGCTGCTATGCCCCGGGCCCTGCACACCTCTAGGGTTGGCTCTGCCTGTCCCCCCCCCCAACCCCTCTCCATGGCGCGCACACCCACAATCCCCAGCCCCATCTCCACTAGGCTGCCAGAGCATCACCTCGTGGCCCCCCAGACTCAGTCCCCACCTTCTTAACCCCATACCCAAAGACCCCCAAACCAGAGCTGAATGAGCTCCTCCCCCCACCCCTGCAGAAAGACCCAGTGACTCTAGACCCCCCACCCCATGGGCCTCAAAGAGCCAACCACACTCAAGAGACTCACCCGCCCCCCGAGCAACTGCACTGTCCGCCACCCGATGCCCTTGAAGACTCAACGTCTCCTAGCCAGCCCAACCTTGGGTCAGCCCAACCCCGGCCAACCAAACCCAACCGTGGTCGCCCCAACTTTAGCACCAGGAACTCAGTGGCCAACACCACAGAAGACCCAACACCCCTTCAAGCAGACCAGCCCCCCGCTCCGCAAGTGACCCCACCCCCAATGCCTTTGAAGAACCAACGTCTCCACAACCAACATCCTTCAAGACCCCGCATCCTCCACTCAACCCAACCCAACCCAACCCAACCGACATCCCCCCACTCCTCTCACACCCGATCGGTGTCTCTGCCCCCGCCCCGTGGAACAGAGATCGAATTCGCTGATTGGTTCTTTCATATCGTTTGTATTTTTTCCCTTGTTTTTTTGTTAACGAACCTTTTGAAACCCAAGCGACAGAACAAAAAGATAAACCAACGGATGGGAGAATAGGCACGAAAGGGGAGGGATGGGGGGGGGGAGAAATAAAAATCAGAACATCTTCGAGGCGGGGGGAGAGGAAATAAAGGACATATCATGTAAACATCGCGTGTCCCGATGTGCCCGACTGGGGCACGGGGGCGGGGGTCAAATGATATTGGGGTCAAAGGGGGCGAGGTCAATGACTTCCAGTGTCTGTCCCTTTAAATTAAGTCATGGTGGAGTATACATAATTACAATATGGAGACATATATATAATATATGTGTAAAGACACGTATATACATGGGATGCGGGGGCACAGAACCCAGATATCTGGCCTCCCAGGCCCTGAGCTATCCCATCAGCCCCCACTCCCCTCTCACAGCTGTGACCATGCCAGGTGGGCTCCCAGAGCTGAGGGCGGGGTTTCCAGTTACATTTTGGGGGAGGGGCAAGCTCCTCATTGGCCAGCAGCTAGGCCTCAATAAAGCCCACCCCCAACTTCCTGGGGAGGGCTGCTATAGGCCCATTTGTTGGGGAACAGGGAGTGTTGGGAAACTTCCCCGCCCAAACAAGGGGGACAGGGGCAATAAAGTCATCGGCCAATGAGGACGCACCATCTGCGGCGCTCAGGAAGTGTACAGATGGATACATTGTCAGGAGACGATAAAGTTCACTGTCCAATGAGGATGCACCGTGGCGGGCAGCGTGTTGACAGAGCGCCCCCAGACGAGGAAGCCAGCGGGCATGCTGCCGGCGGGCAGGAACGTTTGACGTTCAATCTGGAAGCGCTGGGCCCAGCCTGCGGCAAGGCCGGACAAAACGTCTCGAGCCGGCCGCCCACGGGTAGGCCCCACTTCCTCAAGAACGAATGAACCTCACCGAGCGCCCTCTTGGGGAACAAGGGGGCCTAGTCCAGCCCCGCCCACTACGAGAACGGACAAACTTTATCGGGAGCCCAATCAGTGAACAGCAGGCTTCCCAGCCAGGCCCTGCCCCCTTCCTCAAGAACCAATGAACTTTATCGAGAGCCAGATTGGCAGACAACGGGTTCAGGGACGGGGCAAATAAAACTTTATTGGTACCCCTGGGGGCCAATATCAGTGCAAAGGAGGAGCGTTCTGTCGCTAGGGATTGTGGGGAGGAGGTGGGATGAAACTGGTTAAATAGTTTAAGGAGGGAGGCGGGGCCTATTTACAAACAGGGGCGGGGCCTCATTGGGTTACTATTATTAATACAATTATCTCCTCGTTAAGACTGGGGCGGGGGTGGGGCAATGCCCCAGTAGCCCTTTGGGAAAGGGGGTGGTGTACCTGGACCTCCGCCCCCCTCCCCATTGATGGGGAGGAGGAGATGGCGGCCATCTTGGTTGATGAGGGAGCCATTTTGGATGAAATGGGACCCCCTCCTGGGGGGAACAGAGGGAGGGAAGCCATCTTGGGTGAGCAGCAAGCCATCCCAGATGAAACGGAACCATTATTGGAGGCAGGGAAGCCATCTTGGATGAGCAGGGAAGCCAGGATGGACAAGATGGGAGCCATATTGGCTGAGGGAAGCCATGTTGAACTGGAGAACGGATGCCATCTTGGTTGAGTAGGAAAGCCATTCTGGATGAGATTGGAGCCATATTGGATGAGAGAAGCCATCTTGGATGAAATGAGAGTCACATTGGAGGAAGGAAACCATTCTGGATGAGATGGGAGCTGCCTTAGTTAATGAAGTCATCCTGGATGAATCGGGAGCCATATTGGATGAAGGATGCCATCTCAGTTGAGTAGGGAAGCCAGGAGCCATATTGGATAAGGGAAGTTATCCTGGTTAACAAAACCATCCTGGATGAGATGGTAGCCATATTGAAGAAGAGAAGCCATCTCGACTGAGTAGGTAAGCCATCCTGGATGAGATAGAAGGCATCTTAAATGAGGGAAGCCATCTTGGTTAATGAGGCAGGAGCCCTATTGGATGAGGGAAGCCATCTTGGCTAAGAAGAGAAGCTGAGGAGCCATGTTAGCAGATGGACACCATCTTGGTTAATGAAGCCATCCTGGGCAAGATGGGAATGACCTTGGTTCAACGAGGAGTGAAAACGACTCATTTGGCATAGTGAGAAGCAAGGGGGTGAAAAACATTGGGGGATGGGTGGCTGCCAGGAGCTGAGGGACCCCAAAATGGGTTCCCATGAGTCTCCTCAGCCCCCGATCTCCCCAAAATTGGTCCATCACCCCTCCTGCCCCTCCTGTATCCCCGGGGGGCAGGGGAAGAGTTCAGAAGTAAGTGTCCTGCAGCGCGGATCCACCTGCCCCGGGCTCCCCGTCCTCTGGGATCACGCCCCCAGATTTCGGGGGCTCCCGGCGACGGAAGGAAGCCTTCTTCTCTTTCTTTTCCTTCTTCTCTCTCTTTTTCTCTTCCTTCTCCCGCTCTTTCTCCCTTTTCTTCTCCTGCTTCAGCCGGGCTTTTTCCTCCTTCTCCCGCTTCTTTTTGTCCTCGGGGCCCACCCCTTTTGTGTCCCCCTGGGGGGGCCCCGCCCCCTTGTGGGGGCCCCCGAGGGGGGCGTTGTTGCCTGTTGGGGAAGGTAAGGCCGGGCGCAGCCCCTCCGAGATCACCTGGCCTGAGGCGGCCAGGGGTGCGGCAGCAGCGGCCAGGGGGCCCAAGGTGGGGCGAGGTGGCTGGGGGCGGGGCTTGAAAGCCAGGCCAAGGAGGCCGGGGCTGGAGCCGGGGGGCGGGTGGAGGCGGTGGCCCCCCCCGGGGAAGGGGCGGGAGGCGGGGCGGGCGC